TAATCTTCAGGGGTACCAAAATGGGACCCTAATTTTTGGGAACTATCCGCACGTCTCAGAATGAAGCAGAGGCTCCAGATTGACCTTATACGTTACTGTTGCTGTTGTTACTGTCATAGGAAGAGCTGTTATTGTTGTTAGTACTACCATTCGCATTATTAATATAACCCCAATATAACCTCAATGTAACCCCAATATAACCCCAATTATTAAGGGGGTGGGGGCGTGATCTCAACCACTCCTTGATGACCAGGCCGGGTCGGCGCCGACCTCGCAGGAGGCCGAGGAAGAGCAAGAAGAGGACGACGAGGTACCCATTTTGGTAATATTGGGGTTCTCTTGGGGTTATATTGGGGTTATATTGAGGTTATATTGGGGTTCTGTGGGGTTATGTTGGGGTTACACTGGGATAATGGAAAATGGCCCTTTGGTCTTGAAAGCCTAAAGAAGCAGTTGTAGTAAGATGCATGACAGCGATGTTCTTTTGCAAAAGGCAGAAGACTACGCCGAAGACCTTGCAGCTTTTCTGCAAGAGGCTCGGTCAGATCAGCGCTGGGTTAGAACCGGCCATAAACACCTCCCCGCACATTGCAGGCACTTGATGCGTCTGCTAATGCGAGGGCTTGCATCTGTCTTCCTGCGGCAGGTCAAGGCGGACAGCACAACCGATGTAGCTCCGAAGGGCCGCAGGCAAAGGGCACATTCAGCAAAGTGCAGCCATGTGCCATTAAACATTTCCTGATATTTCAGAGCATATGAATGCGCAGGTGCTGCATTGACAGATTAGGCAAAAATCAGCATGGCACAAGCAGACTCGCACGAACCTCCTGCAACTACGCCTATGGGCCTATGGCTTCCAAAAACGGGTTTTGTCATGAGCCCCTATGCCTGCTTGTCAGAAATTTTGTCCCGGCGGTGGAGTTTGTCGCGTACAGCCTGGAGAATTGGGATGAGCATCTCAGCTGGCACGCGAGGGATTCCAAAGCCAGAGGCAAACCAAGGGGGCAATAATAATTACAGTAGTAGTAGTAGTAGTACTACTACTACTACTACCACCCTACGGGTGTGTTTTCTGTCCGCTATTTTGGTCAAAAAATGACAAATTACCTGGGTTTCGGACTGATTTTAGAATCTTTTTGGGTGGCTGTAGAAAATCAAGATTTTTTGGGCAATATGCAAAAACCCATAATTTCAGCGCGAAAAATGCGCCACACGTTTTTTAATGCGTTTTTGCGGTTTTCCACACGCCTGCTATGGTTTCGTGCCAAAAAGTGCGTTTTTGATCGTCGGAGAAATTATTGCATTTTTTGCTGATTTTACATTCGTCTTTGCAAAATGTAGCTTGTGAGTGGGACTGCATCAAGCATACGATGGTAGCAGTATGACCGTATGATGAGTACAAATGAAGGAAGCGGTTCTTCGGACATGACTGTTGCTCTTCGTGTCATTAGGTTTAGAGTTTAGGTTTTAGGTTTTAGGGTTGTAGGCTTAGGGTTTAGGGTTCAGGGATCTGGGCACTTAATTGAAGTTACCATATTGGGGAAACCCTATTGATTACTGTATATATTTATATACCCATTATGGTATTGTAACTTAATTAAAGCTCCTGAACAGCAACCCAGTCATAGCACAACCACGGCTGTACTTCTGACGCAATTATAAGCTTCCTAGGTCCCCGAACGGAATTATGTTTTGGGCATCGATGCCCTGGTCACCATATGCTCTTGGAACATGAACGGAATCATGCTTTGGGCATGGATGCTCTGCTCACCATATGCTCTTGGAACACGAACGGATATATGCTTTGGGCATGGATTCTCTGGTCACCGTATGCTCTTGGAGCACGAACGGATATATGCTTTGGGCATGGATGCTCTGGTCACCGTATGCTCTTGGAACATGAACGTGATTATGCTTTGGGCATGGATTCTCTGGTCACCGTATGCTCGTGGAACACGAACGGAATTATTCTTTGGGCATGGATGCTCAGGTCACCGTATGCCCTTGGAACACGAACGGAATTATTCTTTGGGCATGGATTCTCTGGTCACCGTATGCTCTTGGAACACGAACGGATATATGCTTTGGGCATGGATGCTCTGGTCACCGTATGCTCTTGGAACATGAACGGGTATATGCTTTGGGCATGGATGCGCAGGTCACCGTATGCTCTTGAACACGAACGGAAAGCCAACAAATGTAAGCCTGAAAAAACGTGCTTTTCGCTGGACGGAAAAGTCACCCGATGGCTAGTACTAGGACATGTAGTAATATATACTAATAGTAGTAATATTGATATGCAATATTCATTGGACTTGTGCATGATTTTCTAACGTGGTTCATACTTCGCCCTTTTCATCAACTCATCATGTCGTCGTGTTTCCTCGTTTCTCATCACATTGCATCATGTTCATCGCTGTTCATCCTGTTGCAGCGTTTTAAACAGTTGTCATCCATCACCCCATCCCCAATGACCCCTCCTGCCCCCCCTACCAAATAATATTTCCACCCGTCTATATTAGGCTTCCCCCTACTTGGGGGGAAACCACAATATTGATCCATATTGAGGGACCATACTCTTGACAAGTCGGCACCTAGCATCGCTGGATAGTCTGGGCTGCTGTTAAGGAACTTAAATTAAGTAACCATCATGGGTGTATATAGTAAATAATGGGGTTTCCCTAATATAGTAACTTAATTTAAGCCCTAAACCTTAAACCCTACACCCCAAACCCTAAACCCTAAACCCTAAATAATAGGGTTTCCCCAGTATAGTAACTTAATTTAAGTTCCTTAACAGCAACCCGGTAGTGGCTACACCTCAGGATGCTCTACCGCAAGATGGGTGAGGCTGGGGTCAGCCTGGTTTATCCAGAGAACCTGACCATCATCGACAAAGAGGCACAACTCCAAGACTACCAAAATGAATTCCTGGAAATCCCTGTGGGGCTTTCCATGAACCGCGGAACCCCGGAATCGACCCCAAAAGATTGAATCCCGGTTATGGGGAGCCCCTAAGAGGGTACAACTGCTTTTTGCAACCCAGCCTGTGGATGGTAATACGTGTATGGCAGTCCCACGTTGTATGTAACTACGGGATCCAATGTCTACTGCTTGGAAGGAGCATAACCCTGAGCCAAACTTCCCAGCCTCAGCTGCCAGCATTAAGCACGACACTGCAAGCTGCTCCAACAGCACAGCTCTGCAGCACCACGTGCCTTGCGCTAAATCTCTACTCCATATATTGTGCTCATGGAGTGGATTATTCAAAGATGACCAAGTACATGGCAAGCAATATAGCTGATTTCGTTTGCGGTACCCGACGCTGGCTCAGGGGAATGCCGTGGAGATCGCCAAAGGCCTGCGCCATCGCCACTTTCCCATCCGCGTGCGCTACATCCTCACATCTGATACCTATGCGCCCGAGAAGGCATCCAGGGCGAGCATGCACCGTTCTACAGGCATGCAAGCGGAACCGCCGAATGTGGATGTTTGCCTTCGGTAAGTTTGATACCATGTTCAGAAGTACGAGACACCTATGTGTGAAGACACCCATAGACACCCCACACAAGGTCCCAAGCTTGAAGCCCTCAAATTGTCACAAACCAAGGTAATATTAGGGTCATATTGGGGTTATATTGGGATGATGGAAAATAAAATGGAAATTACTATATGATAATATAATATACTATCATTCCAACAAATCCCAAGAAATCAACCCCATAGGCCCCCTAGAGATCTGCAGGCAAGGAAGGCAGAGGAGGCCGAGCCACCAGAGGCGCACGAGACGCCTGCGGAGGAGGCCAAAGAAGAGTCCATGGAGGCCCCCAAGGGCAGAGAGTTGTAAGGATGATACTTAAAAGCCTTAAAGTTATTATATAGTCCCGCTTAAGTAGATAGAATATGGCTCTGGGTACATTTTAATGAGATCCCCATATACCCCATATTCTATCTACTTAAGGGGGACTATATCCTCTAAGAGGGATCATAAACCATGATGATAGTGCGCGTTCTATGCCGCAGAAAAACTCCCAGCTAAGCAGGTGATTGAGCATTCGGCATGTGGTGGCTGCTAAGCCACTTGTGCCCTTGCTTTCGGTAGGGAGAAAGATGAGCCACTATTGCCTGAAGAAGGCAAAGGTGGCGGGCCAGATTTTGGTTGCGCCTTGGCACGGAACGACAGAAGCCACATGGAGGATGCGATTGACGTGCAGAATGATGTGGCCGGCTTCCGGCTTTACACAGTGTACCACGGCCATGCCGGCGAGGAAGCCGTCTCAGTGGTCAAGCGAATCCTGCCGAACATCGTCACAGTTCATCTCCAAAAGGAGACCGATGTGAAGAAAGCCCTGTGTGAGGGCTTTAAGGCCGTGGATGACGAGCTTACCAAATGTCTCCTGGAGACCGCCGGCAAAGCAGGTGCCAAATTTTCTTTTTGAACGGTAGCCTGCATGGCTCTCTTCAAGGGCAAAGAGCTGTGGCTGGCAAACCTTGGTGTTTGCCGAGCGATCCTATGCAGGGAAGGCCACAAGGCCCAAACAGTCACTACGGACCATGCGCCGGCAAAGAGTGGAGCTGAAGCAGAACGGCTTCGTCAACTTGGTGTTGACGTGCATGGTGGCTACGTGGGTGAGCACATTGCAGTTTTCCGAGCATTCGGGAATATATGCTTTGCCTCAGGCAAGAAATTGGCAGGACTGCTCCACGTGCCGGAAGTGCAGCAACTGGAAATTGATGAGCAGACAGACTTCCTCATTTTGGGGTCTGATGGAATTTGGGATCCTCTGAAGGATCAGTCCGCCGTAACCCATCCGAGAAAGGCGCTATGGAGAGCGAGAGAGAGAGAGAGAGAGAGAGAGACAGAGTGCCAACGCACATGGAAATATTCAAGAAAGGGGTCCATCAGATATTCTTCATGATGATCCCAACAAAAGATGTCATGGCAAACACTTTATCCAAGAAAAAGAAACAGACAAGAAAAGAAGCTGAAACTGGTATTTGGAGCTGGCCATTTATGAGTACTCTTTATAGTATCCTCTTATTTCAGGGGCACATAGGACCTTGAATTTGGAAAATGCCCACCTTCACAAGTGCACAGCAGTCTCTGGTACGCCTTGGTTAGCGCCGCTTGGACAGACCCAGCCTGGACAATTTTCTTATTGGTTCTTAGTAGGGAATAAGGGAATATAACCCCCATATGAGTTATAGTCTAACCTCCTAGTATTCCCCATATAATCCCTGCATAATCCCCTTTAAGGAGTTTAGACTATAGGTCTTGTACCTATATAATATATTCGCATATTCCCTACTGAACGCCAGTACCATTGGTGACATGCCACTGGGCAGGATGGAAAGAATAGCAAGACTTCAAAGCCGTCCACGCCCAGGTCCGGATTTGGGGCTCGGGACAGTAATAACAATGGCAAGAATAGCAAGGATAAGAACCGCAATGCTAGATACGAGTAAGAAAGACAGTAATGGTAGTAATACGAACAGCTAACAATAGAGAAGCACGTGGATCTCTTGGAATTGAATTCTGACATGTGGGGTCTTTGCCTTACCTTCCCTGTGCAGCTGTGGTCGGGCTTGAATAGATGGGTAGTTCCCAAAATTATAGGCCCGTTTCGGTGTCCATAGATATTTGGTGCCGTGATATAATCTAGAACCCAAAAGGGCCCATAATGTTGAGAAAAATCCAGATGAGTTGAGTGCATCCACTGCAACTGTTGACCTGCTGCGAGGCCTGAAGCCATTTTCATCGCCGGTGCCACCAACCTGATCAAGACGCACTTGGACGAGGTTGCAAAGTCAGTTGGGCTTACGTAGAGTAAGCTCTCGCGACAGAATACAAAGAATTTAGATTCACCAGCATCCTGCACAGTGCCTGCAGCAACGCTATGCTGCTCCAGGTGCTGGCAGCAAAGCAACTGCCCCCTATGCAGACGATTGAAGCCTGGCGGCACGGCTTTGGTTTGAATTCAAATTCCACGGGATTTGACAGGTAAATTGCCGATCTATTTCAACACATTCGGGCCCATGGTCTTGTCACCCACAGCGCAAAGCAGCAATGCAGAGGAAAGGTACTGCACGAGATGCCAGCTGCGACCTTAGCGGCCACGCAAAGCGTGGAATTGCACGTCACAGATGAGGTTCCCGGAAAAAGAAGCAACTGACATTGTTTCCCGTGCCATTGTTATGGCCAGCATTTTGCGAGTGGTGATGTTGATTGCTAGCAATGACGATGCACTGACATTATTTGTCACCAACCCTCGCTGGTTCTTAGTAGGAATCCCCGTATAACCCCTATAGTATGTGCGTATATATACATATTTTCATATGCCCTATTAAGAACTAGTAAGACTCTAGCTGGATGAGGAGCATGTCAGCAAGTCAAGCCTCGTCTGCGTGTTCGGATCTTCATCAGACGCGAAGTCCGTTCTGGACGGCCTGGAAGAGGGATTCGGCGACGTGCCACACGGCCACTAGCTGCAAGACGTCTTGATGTTGGCCCCCAAATTATGCATACGTAGGGTCCCTTATACCACAATCGGGGCAACTGCAGAGATTCACTTCAAGGAATCACTTTGAGGTTTTGTTGTGCATGCATAGCAGATGACTTCCAAGAAAGAGCCCTGAGCTACATGGTGCGTACCGGTGCCGTGACGCACTCATGTGATCTTGTGATACGTATATGTATAAAAACTCACATGAACATGTATCATGTATCTCACATGCAAGAGGACTCCTCTTGTTGCAAACATCCACATACGCCCTGCATGTAATCCCCTCCCACTAATATTAAACCCACCACCCCCCCTTCAATGCATTATGACATACCACAATTGGGAGCATTTAGCATTGGGGGGGTTAAACAGTAGGGGGAGGGAATTAAGTTGTAGCCTAACCCTTAAATCTTAAGCCCTATTATCCTTCATAGGTGCCCAAGAAGGGCCTGGCCTGTACCGAGCACGTCACGGTCTTCTTAAATTCCGGCTTGCCACCACAGCTGACGTGAAGATGAAGACCAACCGCTTCAAGCAGGCGCCCAAGGAGGAGTACCAGCGGCTCCGCATCAACGGTGGCTTGGCTGAAAGATTGTTGTTGATCAATATGGGGGTCTCCCAAAATTAGGGGTACCCTTTCTGGGGTCCCTATAATCAGGATTATAGTATATTGGGGTCTATATTGGGGTCCCCTGATTCTGGGAAACTACCATATTCCGGTTCCTCGAATGGCCACTATGCAAACAATTGTCCCCTACATGTGTCCTTTGAGACCTAATTAATTAGGGCAACCTTAAATGAATTCAAATTATTTCCCAAAGGGACATTTAGATCAAAGCCTAGATGCTTATACAGACAAATTATTCCATCCACCATCTGCATCGGCGGTCAATCATGGCCTTTAGCTTGCATTGGCCGGGCTTCTAAGGCGATGCGCAGGAGGTCAGACAAGCGAAGAAGATGCTTGGAGAATCATTGGGTTACTATTCTTACTAAATTATGACTATCACTATGTTTATTGTTATTATTTTCACTGCTAATACTATTCTTACTCTCTCCGGACGGCCTGTTATTAGGCCATTTGCTGTGTTATGACAATGTCACATTCAAGATGTCTTCCAAACCCTCGGCGTCAAAAATCAAACTGGGGGGGGGGTGTTTAGGTTTCCGATTCACTGTCCACGTGGGTGGTTGTCAAAATTATGGCCCCCTTTTTGGGTACCCTGAATATTAGGTGTCGTCCTATAATAGGGATCCAAAAAGGAACCATAATTTGGAAAACCACCCATATTCATTTTCCACATTCTTTTCCTGTTGAGTCCCACTAATCCCGCTAAAACTCCTGACCAGTCATATTGAGGATTGTCTTGGATATCCTACACCCCAGATTGTGTGAGGATTGTCTTGGATTTCCTTGATGAATTCAGCGGCCGCGGCATGCGCGGGATGCTCCACGAGAAATTCTTCAGAGGCCTGCCAGGGATGATGAGGTTCAGGAATTCAGGGCTTCATGGCCGTCTAAAGAATATATATATATATATGTATATATACATTTATATACATATATACATATACATATATACATATATGTATATATACATATGTTTAGTATACCTTGGTAGGAATACATGGGGGAGAGATGTAGGGCCTAGGATTGGCTCGGGATCAGGCGGAATCATGGAGCATCAAATGGACAATGATATGGAAACTACTACCGTGTTTTGGGCTTGTGGTTTAGGGATAATGGAGAATCGAGTGGGACATGAAAAGGAAACTGAGCTTGGATGGAATCTAAGCTGAGGATTGTGCGCCTGAGTGCTTCAAGCTTCGATGCTTCCTAGGGCTTCGTTTGTTTGATAACTATTACTAGTCCTCTTGCTTCTATTATTACTATGAATATTGATATTATTACCATTGCCCTTGTCACTATTAGTACTTTTATCATGATTATTACTACTGTCATTCTTACTACTATTCTTACTATGATTATTAATTCTGAGGCATTGAGGATGTGGAGGAGTCGTTCGAGGTTCCGTCTGGAAAGATCGGCCGGCTGATCGGCAAGGCACGATGGAGAAGATTTTCTGGCTAGCGGCTATTGCTTCTCAGTTCTCAGCCCTGCTGAGCCTCGCATATACTTGCGAAGATCGTAGAGTCCCCTATAGACAAGCCTCAAAGTGGTGAGCACCGATTTTATCACATCCCCAGGGCGGTGAGAACATCAAGAAGATGGAGGAATCCTGCGGCGCTCGCTTGAGAGCACCCTGCCAGTCATCAGCTAGCAGCACTTCCTGCTGACAAGTCATAGCTGGTGATGTGAGGCAGGCCACTTTATGGCCTTTGGTAAGTATCGTGCATGGGGCTGTTTGTGATAAACATGGATTTTCGAGGATCCGTTGGGGTGCAGCGTGCAGAAGAAATTCACCTTAGTGCCGATGGATTCCTAGGCTCTTTAAGAAAGCACCTTGTCACGGCCATTTCAAGTAGATCGCGCTGTGTAATTTGGCCGTATCTCCGTCATCGGCAGCATGGACGATGTTGTGTGCTTTTGAGGTCCTCCCCCCAGAAGAAGATGGTGGTGAGCAGCGGCTTCTGGTTTCCGGAGCACCGGACAAAGTGGAGAGCCTTGATGCATGTAGAGGTTTCATAACCAGGCGGCCTCCATATGGAACGCAATATACTCCGACCCTCTATTTGTTGGTTCCCCCTTCAATGACCCCCTAATTCTTGGAACCGCACACAAGACGTTCAAAGCCTGACTCAGAAGAAGTGCAGTTTTACCAGGTAACGCTTCTCACTCACTGGTGGCTAGTAGCGGGTAGAGAAATGGATCCCCATGTTAGTCCCTATAATCCGCTAATACCGTAGGATTAGTCGCTGAACTCGAATCAGTCAGTGCCTAGTAACCACTAGCCCTCATTGTTGCAGTAATGTTTATTCCTTCATTCTCTGCTAACTGCTAACCCTCAACCCTACACAGAATGGTATTCTTCATGATATGTTCCATTCTTTCCCTCCCAAGTGCTTACTTTTCATCCCTGCTATGGTAACTTAACCCTACATCTTAGATAACCCCAACATTCTAGTTGATCAAATTCCTGCTCCCCAAAGTGGCCATTGCGAGCATGATGCCCTATATTTTCCCTTACAGACCTGTAGGATAGATAAGTAGTGTTTCCCCAAGGGACCACCTGTACATCCCTAACCTCTAATTCCCAAACATTAAACCCCATAGAACCCATACAAACATGCATACCTGTATACATACATATACTTACATACATACAGCAATGATAGTAATAATAGGACTGATAGAAAGAATAGAGTAGTTTTAATAGAAATAAGAACAGTAATAATAAAAGTGAGAATGTGCATGTATATACATATGTATGTATACATATGTCCTATATACATATATCCTATATACATGTATCCTAGGACATTTTTTACGAACAAAAATGGTAATGTATGTGTACATGTATATATAGATAAATATATATATATATATATCCTAGGACCCCTTTTAAAGAAGCCCATAGCTAAGGAAGGCCAAGGAGCTACTGAGACCCTTCATCCCTACGCTCAGCGCTCTTGAGCCAACAGCCTCAGGACAGGGCTTAGGGTTGAGGGGGTTGAGGGGGTTGAGGGGTTTAGGGTCCAGGGTTTTAGGGATTGAAAGTTTTAGGGTTTAGGAGTTCACGATGTAGGGGTTAGGGGTGTAGGGTTTTCGGGGTTTAGGGGTTTAGGGGTCAGGGTCGAAGGGGTTGAGGGGTTTAGGGTTCAGGGTTTTAGAGATTGAAAGTTTTAGGGTTTAGGGGTTTAGGATATAGGAGTTTAGGGTTTTTGGGGTTTAGGGGTTTAGGGGTCAGGGTCGAAGGGGTTGAGGGGTTTAGGGTTCAGGGCTTAGGGGTTCAGGGTTTCTGGCTTAGGGCCTTGGCGAGGGTTATATAGTGATGTTATAGGGGGCCGCATGGAGATCATACTAATGTATGGGTTAGGGGTATTACCCAAGAAAGAAGAATCAAATGGAAAAGAAGATTGAGCATGAAATGGAAGCCCAAGGTCCTTTTTAAGCGGGATATGGGTGTATATGAAGGTATTACCTCAAGAACAGAGAATCGAAAACATTGAAAATTACATGGAAAGTGGGAATATCATGTGTGCCTGGGTTTTAGGGACATAGGAAAGAGGACTTTGTTAATGGCATTTTGCGAGTGTATATCGTGCTCCTAAACAGTGTCGGTGAATGTATACATTAAGCGTCCAATGGCTCGGACATCAAATAAACCTATCCGCCAACTCAGTGTGAGTAATCCCCTCCCCCAATTGTCACTACAACCAGAACAGTCGTGAATATCAATCCAACACCAGCACAAAGATGTGTGCCATAGATCTAAGTTTTAGAGGAAGTTCGAGATTTTAGGAATGATTAGTACGGAGACTGGATTACTCAAGCTTACGGTGCCAGGCCCCTCAACCCCACCATGCCTCACTGCATCCCGAATCCCCATGAAGCACTATGATCTCAGTGTTTGTTTCATGTTCCATTTTACATGCCATTTGATTTTTCAGTATTAGGGTAGTATCCCTATATATCCCGGCATACCGCTTGGTCTGTGAAGGCACCGCAGAACTCGCCACAGTACCTTGCCCCTGCCAGGCGTGCCACTCCGGAAACGCCTCAAGGAGGAGTCGGAGGCAGTGGCAATTGCTTTGCCCTGCAGCTCTAGGTCTATAAATGATAGCTACGCTGGGCCCTAGAGTTTGTAGTAATAACGACATTTGGGCTCTGGAGTCTGTGAATGATAGCTACATTGGGCCCTAACGTCTTTAGATAGTAACAACACTGCACCCTAAGCTCTGCAAATAATGCCTGCATTGGGCCCTAAAGTCTAAAAAGAATACCTACAGCGGGCCCTGAAGTCTACAAATCATGCCCATATTGAGCCCCGACATTTGTAACTACTGCCTACATTGGGTTGTTTGGAGCCCTGGGGTTCGCCGGTTCGCCCTGATCTCATAGTACTGTTCTTAATCCTCAGATGGCTGATGTCTGAGTTCAAAAATTGGACGAAAATAATATATCCGAACAGAGGCCATCGAAAATAGGTTTGGGCTTTTCCTGAGTACAGAGCAGCCCACAAATCATATGGTTCAGGCAATCTTGAGCAACATGTGCAAGGCAAAGCCTCGAAAAGCATTCCTGTAAAAACCTCTAGATGTTGCTTGGAGCTGCCGGAGGAAGATCTGGTGCCAGTCAGGGGAAGCGCAAACAGATGCGAACCTGTTGCCTGCCATCTCCATGCAACAAAACAACAAGATCCTAAACCCTAAATAGTAGGTTGCATTTTTTTTGGAGGGTCTCTTTTTGAAACCTAAACACCTTCTGCCGTGGGAATTATGGTAACTTGCAAGGTGTCGAGTATCAGCAGGGATTTAGCCCAGATCTGGAGCAAAGTCAACACATCAGCTATCTAGGAGTATGAAACGCATGTAGAGGGATCAGGGTATTTCAAAATTCGAAGACGCTGTAGTACATTCACCAAATGAGCTATCATCTAAACTCCTTAAAGAGGGTTATATAGGGAACTATATAGGGGAGTACGATATGGGTCATTTAGGGGGATACTAGGAGTTTAGACTATAGCTCAAATAATCATGCGTGCAAGAACTGGCACCTCTTGGCTCCCGCCGAGTAGGTTACCCAGGTTGGCAGACTGTCCAAGGTCAAGTCTCCAGAGTTGGCAGCAGCAAAAGCTTATATTGGGTCATGTAAGGAACATGTAGCAAAATATTGGGGTTAGGTGAGGATTATATGGCAAAAATATCGTAGCATTCTCGCACAATGATACATGTTTAGTATTAAGCACCTCAGCCCTAAACCCTAACCCCTAAACCTGTAACACTCAAGCCTGAACCCTAAGGGGTTATTAGATATGTAGACATATCTGTATTCATTAGTATGACCATTACTACTATTATGCTTGCTGTTATCAGTGTACCTATGTGTATAGATACTAGGAGTTATCATAGTCCCTTCATACAGCCCCCTTACGGACAGATATTGCAAGGTGGAATGGCACATATTATGCTTCATGAATATCATTACCATTTCTGCTGTTACTCTCCTCTTATAGTATTATAATTGTCATCATGGATTTCTGAAGACTATTACTAGTATTTGTCTTTCTGTATCATTATCAATATGTATAATCTTTCAGGGATTTTCTGTGCGGCAGGAAGCGCCAACAGACCACGGCGAAGAGCTACGGGGACGAAGGAATCGGGCCGCAGAGGTGGGCCTAGGAAACCACAAGGGTGTAGTCAGGGTTTGGGGTTTAGGGTAGGGGCTTTGGGTTAACAGGAACATGTTGTTAGATTTGTGTTACCCTTAATTCTCAGATAATCCTTATAAAGACATACGAGCTGCATTTTTATAGGGCCCCAAACCTACCCTAGTCTTTAAGGGTAACTTGTTACCCCAATTCCTTACACTAGGTGGCACTTTGTGATAATCAGCAATTACCATTATTGTTGTAGAAGGGAACCTATTCAAAAATGATTCTGGGTGTCCTTTAAAGTACCACCCAGTAAAATGTCATGGGTTATACCTGTAGTTATACCTATAGCTGTAATTAGGAGGTAATTACTACGAAGCTGTAGGTCAGGTATTCCCTCAACTACAGGGTGGTTAGCATCATAGTCCTGTTTTGAGTATCCTGAATATGAGGGGCCATAATATATTAAAAAGGGAGCAGAATTTTGGCAGCCTACCATAGTTCACATGGTGGGTGTCAAGGAAGGCTATGAGCGCATGGGTTTTGGGGTGTATGCCATCAAGGAAGTCGATGGATGTCCAGGAGGTCCAGGCTTGAGGGCTAAAAGGTTTGGCATTATCACGTAGATTTCGATCAGCTACTTGCAATTGATTGCAGTATGATGCTTGCTCGTGTGGCGTCTGGCGGCTTGAGAATGAAAGTTAAGACTGCTTTTCCAGGCACCATTCCGTGGTGAAGCTCCCTTTTTCCTGGTTTCTGGCATGGTGATGATGACTGTTGCGGCCTTTTTTCGCTTATGTTCGTTGAGAGATTTAATTGAATTGTCCTAACTTTGAGACTTGTGTTCCGTATAAACTGATAGCTACGATCTGGAATGAAGACCCCTGATTCAGCAAGCACCCTTCCCCAAATAGCGGCCCAAGTCTTTGCCTGCTGAAAGAAACTAAGCAGATGCCCTCAAACTTTATCTCCCTGTAAGATAACGCTACAAAACTCCAATGTCCATTTCATCCTCAATCGTTACTTGAGTCTCCATTATCCAGAAGTACTGTCGCAGGGTCCATTTCATGTGTCAGACTGTTTTCAGTTGTTTTAGGGACGACTCTGCACACCCTAAGACAAACGGGCCTTATGAGGCACTTCAGTGAACAAACTTGTACCTACCCCAATGGCCAAGCACCACCATTGTAGGGTGGCCTCCTGCCATTGGACGCGCTGGTCTTAAGGGGAACGAGCTTGAAAGAACATGTACGTCGGGGCAGAAGCATATAGGAATGACCAACCTTTGCGAGGTATTTCAACTTTTTCCATTCCGTTCTGAATCATGGCAAACGAATTAGCACGACTAGGTCCTATATAACCTTCCAGAAGCCCTGTAGCGGGGCCCTGTATGTCTATAGATCCTTGTATAACCTCATATATCCCTACATAACCCTCTGTCTCCTTCGACATTGACATAGCCTTGTTTACCCCTACACAGCCTTATATAACCCTGTAGTAATATTAGTTACCCCCTAAACCTAAACCCCATAGTGATAATGGAACCCTACAATAATACTACTTACCCTTCTTGCCCCAAATCCTGAATACGCTCAACACTAAATGGTAGTTTCCCAAAATCAGGGTACCCCAATATAGAGCTCAATATACTATAGTCCTTATTATAGGGACCTCCAAAAAGGGTACCCCTAATTTTGAGAAATCCCCAAAAACTCTAAATACCATTCCTGGCTGTCAGATGTTGGAGTCAGCGGCTCGGCGCGATGACAAGAGGAGCGAAAGGCCAAAGAGCCGAGACAGCAGCCCGGATGCCGCAGAGATTTTTTTTCTTCGGGCTTTTATGGGGATGTATATAGGATAGTTGGGGAGATATATATATATACATGCATATGCTACCCCGCCCCATGAACCTACCATTTTCGGATGATTTGGGGTGTTAATGATGATGAAACCGTGAACAAGCCACTGTAATTTGTTCAGCTGACACAGGGAATGCAGGATATACCTATATATATACACATATATATATACACATATGTGTGCGTGCATAGAGGTTTCGGGGATAGATGATCCAAAAAATGGATAGAAAGTAGGGGTTAGGGTTTAGGGATGCAAGTATGGAGTTTGATTTTTGGGGCTTTCTCGGACTGATGGATCCTTACCGGAGGCTTCTGCAGGGCCTTGGGACGTTGTCCTCCCGATTCCAAGTGCAAGTCGTAGTACTTTGGGGTTATTGGGCCCCAATTCTGAGAAGCACAAGTTAATGGTGCGCCCGAATTTATGGTTCCTTGCAGGGTGTCCTCATCTTGAGGATCCTGTCATATTGGGGCGACGTGCCCAGACTGACTTGGGCTGCTACCTATTTAACTGCAAGGGTCTGAGACGTGGAGTTCAGGCGCTTACTGGATGCTGGCAGTTGTAGGCTGCGAAGACAGACAGGATATGGGGGTTTCCCAAAATTAGGGGTACCATTTTGGGGGTCCCCATAATAAGGACTATAGTATATTGGGGTCTACATCGGGGCTCCCCCTGTTGTGGGAAACTACCATATGAGATTCTTCAGCTGAAGAAGTCTACAAGGTTCCTGAAAATAGTTTTTAATTTCTGTTACCTAGAATCTTAATATTTAGCTGAAATTATAACTTCTACTGGGGTTCCAAAAATCCCTTAGAGAAGTGGTTAGCACCTCTGAGGCTCCACATCCAGTGGGACACGCGTGAAGCGCCTAAGGGAGAAGAAGCGCGCGATCAGTCTTCAAGTGACCTGGCACAATACGGGGTCCTATATTTAGGTTCCCATTATAATACGGGGCCCTATCATTTCCCCCATTTTGGGAACAGGAATTTAGGGAAACTTCCACATCAAAGTTTGCAAGGAGGTCGTGTACAGCACTGCGATTGAGCCTTAGTTCCTGACGTCTTGATTAGAGTGATTTCTATTGCTCAGAGCTCACACCAACAACGAAAGTACAGGCCAGTGAGTTGGAATAGTAGGCTGTGATGATGAAGACATGAGCACCAGCCAGCAGCAGTCGAGCAATCCGAACGAGAATCGTGACACCAGGCGTGAATCCATAGGGTCGGCAACAAGCGCAAGTACAGTAATAGCTACAGGATGCAATAAGTCTTGCGAAGCTATCACTAAGGAGTACCAGGCTATGCTCAAGAAGCAAAAGGAGTTGGACGCTGCTGCGGCTCGGGTATCTTGGAGAAAAAGGTAAATGCGGCTTGTGCAGAAAACGCTTTTGTCTCGCTATCTCCAAGATTCCCGTCTCTACACCTGTGCTGTGCATATGGGCATGGAGCGCTGAAGTCCATACCAGATCCTCAAAAGAACAAAGTCTGTTATGGATCTGCAGACATCATCTCAGAAGATGCAGATTTCCTGCTTGGGCAATCTGTGCAACTTTCTTCTGTTATGAGGCGGAGCAGGCAGCCCAAGTTGCCGCAGCAAACGCCAAGCGTGCAGCGGAGGATTGCGCGATGTAGACTGAGCGAGCGGAATGGGAGTGTGGTCACAGCCAGTTCAGCAGTTAAAGCTGAGGGCGCTAGTTTACTGCAAAAGGGGATTTGCAGGAACAGAAATCGTTGCATGTATGACGCCACTCAGTTTGCAGCTACCTGATCAGGAGGAGAGGCGGAAGGAGGAGGAAGCGGCCCTGATCTTAGCAGACTCTTTCAGTCCGTTACTTCTCAGTTCCCAAAGTATTGGCCGAGGCATTGGACAACTACGACTGGGAAGAGGAGGGCTTGTATGTGCTGGCTGTAGCCGCGCCAAATAACGGTGTGTTCGTAAGAAGACATTTATAAGATTCTTGCCGAAGGTGAAACCCTAAAATCAAAAAGAGACAGCGAAGTGTGCGTTTTGGGAGATCACGGGCAGATATAACCTACTCAGAGCCATAGCCCATTCACAATCGCAGCGTCTGTAATTGGGTTCTCCTTGATCTTGTACTGTGTGGACCCTTAGTCCTCGACCCAAACCCTCAGCCATAGCCTCAACCTAAACCACATCAGAGATAACAAGAAACCAGCTAGCGCCGGCAAGATGAGGGTGCTTTGCCCTGTGTTTGGGCTGGGACGAAGAGGGCGAATGTCTATTGACTCTGACTGGGGGCCTGACTCTCAGGAAGTTCACGGGACAGGAAGACGATGAGGTTGGGGCTCAGCTGGAAAGCCGACGGGTCACTGCAGCTTGGAATTGCAGTAGAAGCAGTTTTAGATGAAGGCACACTTGCAGAATCGGCCTCACAGCACGTGGCCTTGGATGGAAAGGATGTCGGTGTTGGCTTCGTGGGGGGCAGTTCCTCGCTGACGTCTGCGAGATTTTTCGTCGCACGTATCACTTTCGACTAGCCGTGAAGCGTTACGGGCAGAATCCAAAGCCCTCTACATCCGAAGCCCTGCCCCCCTGAAACTGTAAAGTCCTTGAACCTGAAAGTTGGATGCTTCTCATACTAATACTAAAAACAAGACTAGAAGACGAGTCTACGATTAGTAGCATGAGTACTCTCCATGAATGATACTAACTAATAATACTAAATAGTTGCAATACTACTATCATTGGTACTGCCACTAATATTGTTGATACGAAAAATCCTGCATGACCTTACTATACCATAATTCCCAATTTATAGGGTACTTAGGACCATGCGGGATTTTTAGTATCCACCGTATCAAGAGGAGACGGGTCCCGCCGCTGCCTTGGGGCGGCTTGCCCTCACAAGCTTCGGAGCTGGCAAAGTGTGCCTTGGATGCCTCCCGGGTACGTGGCTCAATAGGATGAATGCTATATGAACCATAGTCTAGACTCCTTAAAGGGCGTTATATAAGGAATTCTATAGGGGACTACTGTTATAGGGGGTATTAAGGGGGATACTAGGAGTTTAGACAGTAGCTCATATGAATCATAGTCGCAAGTCCTTCAAGGGGGTTATGCAGGGGATTATGTGGGGGATTATGTAGGGAAGTATGATAGGGCTTAGTAAGGGGGTAACTGGGAGTTTAGACAATGGCTCACATAGGGCTACATAGGGACGATATAGACCTACATTTATTAATGTAAGGATTGCGTAGAGACTACATAGAGTAATATAGGAACTAGGTAGGGTTATAGAGGGACTACAGTTGAAGGGCTTGGGGCATGTAAAGGAATCATGTTGTCTTGCGGCTACTGTGCTCAGGGTTTCTAGGCTCTTCAAGAGGGCTGCAGGGTAAGAGAAAAGGGTTGCTAAGGGTGAGTACAGCAGGGGTTTAAGAGTTGGGGTGTAGAGGCTTAGTGCACGAAAGAACTCCGCAGGGGGGTTCCCAATTCGCAGGGTTGCAACAATGGGTTGATTCTCAATATTGTTTGTCTTGTTTCCGCTTATGAACCCTCTCGGCTGTGGCTAGTTGCAAGACATGAGAGGGATGCAGGATCCATTCACGACCCTTCCGCGGTTCTTCGGGTTTGTTTACTAGGTTCCAGTGAGCATGTGGGGGATTTGGTGGGACTAGGGCGGATATAGGGTTTTGAATTTTACGGGTAAGGGGGAACCCTCTGTGGAGCACGGACTGGGTGTAAAGAGTTCCCACAATTGATGGGTCTATCTTGTTGGCTCACAGAATGATAGGTACCACGATCAGGACTTGTGCCAAAGGATGTTTTCCAAGCATGGAAAGTGGGTGGTTTTCAAAATTATGGTCCCTTTTTTGGATCCCCATTATAATACAGCACCTAATATTTAGGGTACCCAAAAGGGGACCATAATTTTGACATCCACCCAAGTATATAGCTCCTAGTTTCCCCCGTAATAACCCCTATAATAGTTCCCTATAGAATCCCTATATAAACCCCCTTTAAGGCGTTTAGACTGTAGCTCATATAGCTCAGCAGCCTTGAAACGAGATTACTTCAAGGGGTTCCAGCAGGATAACTGGGTTGCTGCCCTAAACCCTAAACCCTAAACCGCGTATTTGGGGAAACCCTATTATTTACTATATATACCCATTATAGTAACTTAATTTAAGTTTCTTAACAGCAACCCAGGATAGTACATATGTGGCAAAAGTCCGCTTTGGTCCAAACCCTCAAGCAACAAACCCTGAATTTCCCAAAATTAGGGTACCACTTTGGGGGTCCACATAACAAGGAATATAATATTTTTGGGCCCTGTATTAGGGTCGCCTTATTTTGGGAAACTGTCAGGTCCCGTACAGTTGCCAACGCAGCTGGCCGACGCTTCGTCAACTTCCAGCTGCTTGCGGGTGGCGTCGTGCAAGTTCCTGAGGCCACACTCTCGGTCAGTAAGGGTTATATTGGGATACTGGAAAAGAAAATGGAAACCCTAGGTCCCTTTAAAAGGATATATAGGGTTATATAGGGGTTATAGGATTATATAGCAACCACCAGCATCACCCACGCGTTCACAGCAGCTGTGGCACAGGAAAGGCAATGCCTAAGGAGATCCACAGAAGCACTTCTTACTTTCGACATGAAGACATACTGTACAGCTTGTTTTTGCCCCCTTCGCATGAGCAGTCAGAAAAGACCTCAGCACAGTTGCAAGCATCTCTTCCGCTCACCTTCAATAGGGCGTGCCAGGCAACCGCTCGATTGTGGCTCGCCAAAGTGGAGGGTACCTTGGGCTCCAAGGCCACAGCCCCAGTGCTTTGTGCGTTCAACTGCCGAACAGCTTCCTAAGAGGGATGCGAACCCCATTTCTGCACGACATGACTTTGTATATGGTTCATGCAGAAATCTGCATTTCTGGCGTGGTTCCCATGCTATCCCTATATTTTTGTCAGCTTCCAGGTCCCTGAAAGTGTTTTCTTCTAAAGCCATTGCGTTTTCCGCGTGCCTTGGGCTACGTCTAGGTTCTGTTTGAAAACGAAACGAATGTAATTTGTCTCCGACAGTTATCAAATACCAGAACATCCAACTCAAGTCCTCGGCACAGATGGAATATTTAGGCTATTCCCTTCAACAGACACCTTTCTTTAGAGAAACACTGAGGACGTTCACGTCAAGCTGGGATGTTTGAATCGGCAATACTGCTATACTGTATATGGAATGATTCGCAGATGTTCGAAGATATCACGCAAGCAATATCCAGCATCGCCCTGATCATGCTGAGGGTTCTTTAAGAGAGAGGTCCCTAACATCGCCTCGACTAGGGTATTCACGCTATGGGGCCTAGAATATTGAGAGACATCCTAAGATCGGCAACTGTTGACCGCACCTCCAAGTAGCATCACAGCAATGATGATATCGCGCAATTCATGCCGCAGAAGGGCTCCCTGCTAAGCGATTCAGCAGCGGCATGTGGTGGTTGCTAAGCAGTTTGTGCCCTTGCTTGGCCAGGGAGAAAGAGCCTCGGCTGTTGCCTGAAGAAGGCAGCGGCGGCGGGGACGACTATGGCTGGGCCGTAGCAAGAAACAACCGCTGCAGCATGGAAGATGCGATTCACGTGCAGGATGATGTGGCAGGCTTTCGGCTTTTCATTGTCTATGACGGCCACGCCGGTGAGCAAGCAGTATCGGTGGTAAAGGGCATCCTGCCACGCATCGTGGCGTTTCATCTCCAAAAGGAGACGGATGTGAAGAGAGCCCTGAGCGAGGCCTTCAAGGCCGTGGATGCAGAGCTAACCAAATCTCTCCTGGACACCGCCGGCAATGCAGGTACCAAGTTCTCGTCCGGGACGGTGGCCTGCATGGCTGTCGTGAACGGCAAAGAGTTGTGGCTCGCGAACCTCGGTGATTGCCGAGCCGTGGTATGCAAGGATGGGAACAAGGCACTTACCATCACCAATGACCATTCGCCAGCAAAGAGCGAACATGAAGCGGAGCGTCTTCGTCAACTTGGTGTGGAGGTGCAGTGATCATGTGGCAGTTTCCCGAGCCTTCGGGAACGTTTGCTATGCCACGGGCATGAAGTTGGCAGGACTGCTCCACGAGCCCGAAATCCACCGGCTTGAAATTGATGACCGAACAGATTTCCTCATCCTTGGCTCTGATGGCATCTGGGACCCTCTCAAGGACCAGTTCGCCGTCATCCACGTCAGAAAGGCTCTGCGCACAACTGAAAAGCCACAAGATGCAGCACAAGCAATCATTGAGAACGCGGCAAGAGTCAGTGCAGCTGATAATGCTGCTGCAGTGGTGGTAGTTTTTAAGTTTCCCGAACCGCTTCCGAAGCGCAACGCACCCCTGTCTAAGCGCAACGTGTCTCTCGCTGCTTAGGTTGGGTTTCCACCATGAGTCCGTGACGGACGTCGAATTAGATGGCAACCATACAGATTGATTCGCAAGACGACAAATGAACTGGACGTTTGAAAAAGGATCTGCAGGAGGGAGGGAGAGAGAGAGAGAGAGGATAGGGAGTTGTACAAACCGATGTCAGATAGGAAAGCGGGATAGAGTTTGAGATTTCTCCACC